CCCTGCCGGTCCCCGGCGGACCCCGCCTGCCCCGGCGGCGCGGCCATGAAGCTGAAGCTGAAGAACGTGTTTCTTGCCTACTTCCTGGTGTCGATCGCTGGCCTCCTCTACGCGCTGGTGCAGCTCGGTGAGCGGGGCGGGGCGGGGTGCGGAGGGCCGGCCCTAGGCGCAGGGGACGAGCCCCCCAGACGGCTGCTTCCCGCTCGATGCTCGGGACAGCTCTCGGTGGCCCCATGTCTAGAACTCCGTGGTCTGCAGCTCCACGAATGCCAGCCAGGCCAGGAATGACCCCGCCGCCGCCTCCGCTGCCGCCGCGCAACCCATTTCTCACCCCTCCCCTCCCTACCTCACAGACCCGCTTGCTGACAGGTTTCTGAGAACCCTATGTTCGTTCTTCCCTTAAGCTCTTTGGTTTTTCCCCCAAGGCCATCTATTTCTCATTCTTAAGGTTTTAGGCCAGATGTCACCGCAGAGACGACTTCCCTGACCACCTTAGCTCAAGTAACCCTTCTTAGTCCCGATCCCTTTTTAATATTTTATTTTCTAAGTGGCCCATATCGCAATTTGTAATGACTTTATTAGTATCTGCTTCTTTCATCGAAGTGATAGCTCCATGACAGTAGGGCCCATTTTCCCCCATTTGCTTTATCTTAAAGCAGGGTTTCCCAAGAGTGTTCAATAAATGTTTATCTAGTGATGGAATCAGTGAATTTACTGACAAGTCAGTGGTCACAGACCATGGAGCAGATTGAATCCAGCCTTTTATTCAGAATCTTGGGTAAATGCTTCTCAGGTATTGCCGTTACGTGAGTGTTGAGTGGCTCAGACTTTTCTATATCTTATTAGTCTAGAAGGTAACATTAGGATCATAGGTAGGAAGGATAGGAAGGCTGGCAGAGAACCAGAGTTAAAATAGTCACAGGGCTGAGGGTGCAGTGATAGAGCACGAGCAAGTTCGAGGCCCTGGGTTGAAGCCTCAGCAAAGAAAAAATTGGCAGATGGAATTGATTAATAATGAGAGTTGAACCAGGCGGTAGTGGCACACGCCTTTAATCCCAGCGGTGAGTTCAAGTCCAGTCTGGTCTACAGAGCTAGTTCCAGGACAGCCAATAATAACAAGAAAAAAGTGTTGAATATAGTGGCCCAACCTTTGGAAAACAGACCAGTAGGTTAAAGGTTTGAGGCCAGCTTGGGGCCATATAGCAAGACCTTATCTTAAAATGACAACAGTAGTGCTGGAGAGATGACTCAAAGGTTAAGAGCACTGAGTGCTCTTCCTGAGGTCATGAGTTCAATTCCCAGCAACCACATGGTGGCTCACAACCATCTATAATGAGCTCTGGTGCCCTCTTCTGGTGTGCAGGCAGACATGTAAACAGAACACTGCATACTAAAATAAAATCTTAAGAAAGAAAAGGGACTTGGAATTAAAAAACAAAACAAAACAAAAAACCAAGACAAAAATAAGAGAAAGATAAAGAGTGCCTGCTAGTTGAAAGAGTGACCTGCCTGCACCATACTTTTAAAAAAAAAGGTATTGGGGCTGGAGAGATGGCTCAGAGGTTAAGAGCATTGCCTGCTCTTCCAAAAGTCCTGAGTTCAATTCCCAGCAACAACATGATGGATCACAACCATCTGTAATGGGGTCTGGTGCCCTCTTCTGGCATGCAGGCATACACACAGACAGAATATTGCATACATAATAAATAAATATTTAAAAAAAAGTATTGGCTAGGAGTTAAAAGGATTTTGACTCTGGGTTGCTGAACTACTTACTGTCTTCTGGTTCTCTGCCCCAATTCCCATTCCCTGTTGGTGCATCTTGGGACCAGGCCAGCCATGTGACTGCCTCTCTCCACTGCGAGCGGCAGCTGAGCAGCTTCGACAGAAGGACCTGAGGATTTCCCAGTTGC